TATATATATATATATATATATATATATATATATATATATATATATATATATATATATATATATATATATATATATATATATATATATATATATATATATATATATATATATATATATATATATATATATATATATATATATATATATATATATATATATATATATATATATATATATATATATATATATATATATATATATATATATATATATATATATATATATATATATATATATATATATATATATATATATATACATTTATAGGCGGCGAGAGTTTATACGTTGCGCGCGGATTGCAACATTGAGATACGTTTAGTAATTTACGACATGCACCGAGCTCTGGTAACAATGGAGATCTTACGCACACGAACGTACTCGTTGACCGTGAGAGCGATGCCGTGAGGCAGGTAGACAGGCAGAAATGCATAAAACGCGGTAGCCGCCAGTGAGGTGGATATGGGTGGAACGGCGTCGTGTCTAACGGGAGTTATCACCGTCTACCGGGAAGAGCAAGCGTCGGAACGCAGGGAACAGACAAGTAAAATGTGCACATGCGGATGTAGAGGAAATATGCAACCAATCCAGCATGCATCTCTAGCGCGAACCGGACATTGGATCCATTATTCGAGTCATGGACCAAGCTTGTCGTTGTAAAGAATAGCGTTATAATTTTATATATTTTTTTGCGTGCGTAAAACAAAGATTTTTGTATGTTTGTGCGAGAGAGTATCGGTCTTTTTATCAACGCAAAACTCAGCTCCTTTTGTTCGTTTGTAGCAACGCCAAACGCGAATCTCTTATTTTTGTATCGCAGTCGTAGAGCTCTACGAGCTTTCTCATTTTTTGCTATCGATTCTTGTTGTATACACTGGTCGTCACATCCTCTCGGACGCGAAAGTGTAACGGAAAGTTCTTCGATGTGAGTATGAACGTATTTATCCCCGTATTTCCGAATGTATTCCAATAGCGGAAATTTTTTTATTTCGGAAGTTTCTCTCTCTCTCTCTCTCTTTCTCTCTCTCCGCGGATTTTGTGAAGCTTCGTATTGTGACATGAACAACAATCGGTAGAACGATATTGCATTTGTCTCACGAAGTCTCAATGATTTATTTTATTAATAGGTTTGGTCATGTGTCGGAGCGATTTCGTTCAGAAGTTTTCTTTCGAGTTCAGGAAGCTCGATCCCTTTGCGTGTCTTTAACGAAGCAACAAGAGAAGATTCATTCACTTTTGCCATGGAATATTCTGCGATAATCGAGAAGGCCAGACCGCGTCACGTCGCGCGATATTCTCCTCGGTTCTCTGTCGACCGTCTTCCATCCGTTATCGTTCATAAAATCCCACTAATCTCATTGTATAAGCAAGGACGGCGGATTTTACTCTCTCGTTCTTCCCCCTCTTCCCTCTCTCTCTCTCCTTCTCACGTAATCGCCATTTTATCCGCCGCGCTTCCTTCCGGATGCGACTGAATAATTCACGTGGCCGCTTCGGAGTATCCGATCGGAAATCACTCGCCCAGAGATGCAATTTTTATTTTAATAATCACGCGGTTGCTCAAAACACACACACGAGAGATATATTATTTATTAATTGAAATTTCTGAGAATAATAAACGTTCCGCGTTAATTGAATTCCTAAAACGATATAAAGATTATTCACTCTGGAGATTGAAATACGATGGCACTCTATTTCGGAGTAATTTCGTTCAGTAACTACGAATACTGCTCGACGTCGAAATAACCGCCGCTGAAGTAGAGCGCCGCTACGAGAGCCTGTACATTAGGAAAAGAAAAAAAGATTGCGGTCGCATTAATATCCCGCGAATGTGAGTTGATAGTGAGGGACGCGGTGCATATTGCCCTGCGCATGTACTGCCCAACGTATAACGATAATTAATAGTGCCATGATATTACCATGATATTTCCATTTGTTTCGAAGCTTTCGTGCAGCGACAAGATTGTCGCCGGGCACGGAAAAACGACTAATTGCTATTCTTTACTTGAAATAAATCACTCTCCTGAATGCGCGCGCACACATACACACAGACACACACATCAAGTGTGGCATTTGATAAATGTAACCGCGCGATAATGCCGTTCTCTCGAAGCACCTTTGGATATTTTTTTAAATAACTCTCGGTGTTATATATGTATGTATTATTCTGTTATTTTTCTTCCTTTCGCGTGTTTCTACTAATTTGTAGACGATATCACAACTAATTGACTTAACGACTTAATAAATGGAAAAAAAAAAGAATCGCGTTCTTGATTCTCATGGTGTGTGTGTGTATGGGTATGTGTGTTATATATATATATATATATATATAGTTGTGCTCAATAATTTATACAGTTAATGAGATTGCGAAGCTGTGCCGCTGCATCCTCTAAGGATTCAGAGAAAGAGATCGCAGAAACAACATTTCGCGCCCGTGAATATTTCTCACAAATTTACATAGATATTAGAGAGCCATACGATATACGGTATGGATCGCGAAATGTAATACAACTAACAATAAAAAGATGATACCTTGTGCAGAAATAAGTTAAAAGTGTGTAAAACTTGATAACATATATTTGAAAATTGATAACATATATTTGGGCTTTTTCAAACTTGAAGAAGCTTGAACAAATTTTTTTTTTTAATTTATCCTTTATCTCATCTCATTTAAGTTTAACGTATACTTCTTATATCTACGTAACTATTTTTATGCAAATTGTTGTAATCATACTCCGTCTTTACTTTCTTTTTCATACTTTTATTAGAATTGCTCGGAAAAGACGCTCATTTAAAGTGAAAAGTTAAAATAGAATGTTGTTATTATGTCATTATATTTCTTCCAAGCACTCGTGACATACATACGTACACATGATACTCCAATATAATTAGATTAGAATTTATGTATTAGAGTATTATAGTGTTCCGGGTACGCGATGCAATTATATTGACTCTGTGACTTGACTTTACGTTGGAGTAGCTTTTAAAAAGGTTTTAATCAATTATTTCCGTGTTCTTCAATGACCGTTACAATAAGCTGTCTCTGACCTCGGCCCCTGTACTAGCTCTCTGATATAAATATTATAATGCGATATGATTATGTGTGCATCCTCGACTAGACTCAAGTAGAATCTTCGCGAGGAGAAGATCTTCAGTCCCCTTATCGTGTCTATACGTTCGAGTCTATCGTCGCGATGCCTTTCTGTATGATTAATGTCTATAAAGTCGTCTATAAAAATCCCTCGTCCGGTTGACAATTTCGTATTTGTACACCGAGAAAGAAGTTATTACCTTGATTAAATATATTTAGTTGATTATTATTTCTTTAGTTGAAGATTTATTTAAAAATACATCGTGTATTTGACTTAAATATGTAAATATTTCAGCTAAAGAAATTATAATTAAATAAACGCATTTAGTCAAATTGACGTCTTCTTTTTCTTAGTGTACCAATTTTTAATTGAACGACGAATTTATTTGACAAGATAAGGTTCGCGCGGGGTTTCGAAGAGATGCCAGTCATTATCAGCATACATCCTCGTTCGAGACTCGCGAGAGGTCGATATGAGCCAATTTCCTCTTGGCCGTTGCATTCGGAGCTTTTATTCTCCCTTTTTGCAGCGGCGTGCAAGTTTCCCATTAGAGAGGCGTAGAAAATGAGAAAGAAAAATAGAGAGGGAGAAAGAATCACCTACCGGCTTAAACCGTCGCATGCGAGTATCCTGGCAGGCCGAGGAAGCCGGGATCCGTAGCCCCGTCGCCGTCGATATCGATCGACGATCCTCGTACCAGCTCGCTCGCGGGACCGTCGATGGTGGAAGTGGCGTCAGCAACGGCAGCCTCCGTTTGGGAAGTTGTTGTTCGATCACGCATCACCAGACAGTTTCACAGCACTACGTGGCCCGTCGATCTTTTCCCCTTCCTCCGTTTCGTTAGCCGCTCGCGCGCTCGTCCGCTCTTATCTAGCCGCTAGTTAACGAGTTAACGGATTAACAACTTCCTGACGCTCGAGGAATGCGGGGCGATCAAAATCAAACGAGCGATCGCGCGCGCACCCGCCACCGGAATCGATCCTCAAGATCGAGAATATACTGTTTTGCGAGTCGTTGTCTCGCGCACCTTTCTCGTCTTCCGAAAACCCGACGGCGTGTTCCTAACACATGGTCAGTCTCCCCGGTCACCTTTTTTTATTTTCGCGAGCCCAAAATTTCGCGGGATCCTCCGTTCCTCGTTTGGCGCAATCGCGTCCTGTTGCTTCGAATTTTCCGTCGGCGGGATAGCGAGAGCTTTCGCCGTTGAGGGTGGAAGAGCGTA